CTGTTAGTTTGTAAGCACATATACTCACGAATGTTTTTCCTTCATTTGTTACTTTATTTTTAGTTTTAACTAAAATTTTAGTTTTAATAGAAATTTTTCTACCTGTACCAATCCTAAAAAAATCCCTTAACCGAAGCCATGTTATTGTTTAATACGTTATAGGCAAATTATGCCGCTTCCCTAAACCAGCTGTATTATATGAACTCATTTCAGTTACACAGGGAATTTCTTTTTATGAAATCAGTAAAACATTTTTCTCCTAGTATAGATATCATTTATGCTCAATACGAATATGAAGATTATATGCACCCCTAAAAGTGCCACCTTAAACATAACCAGTCACTTGCCAGGTAAATTTACCAATATTTGATTTTACTGTGGTTCCGTCTTATACGTAGTGATGTCCTAACAACTATACTATACTTCTAATGTGATATCTACCGGTAAGCCACTATGACATATTAAGTGGACATCGTTGCCAAGCATTGTGTTTTAAATCCTTCAAAGATTACAATCAGAATTCAATGTAAAGCTCCTCAACGCTTCAAGTACCACCACAGTCCGTGCTATGCGCTATCTCAAAAGCGAACCAAAATTTTTCTTGCCAGAAAAAAACAACAACAACAAAAAAAAAAAAAAAACAAAAAAAAAACGATAATTACTTTATGCAGTTTTAGGCAACATATATTTAATATTTCTAACAATTGTTGAATTCATAACTTACCTTCGGCCGAGTTATCAATCTCAAACAGCGACAGGTGCAACCATTATAAATCATTATAAATCATTATAAAAGTTGGCACGTGAACTTACCACTAACCGGAAAGCACGTTAATACGACGGAAGGTCAAGTTGGTTTTAGATAAACAAATAGCCAATCAATGAAGTCTTTATCCGTGCTAATATTTACCAATGTTGACGAAAGACGACAAGGACATTTTTTTCTTGTTCCCCAAATCTGGACATATCGCCTGTGGATATTTATCATATTTATCTGTGTAAAACATGACTAGAACAGAAATATTTTCCGCGGTATCTTACTTCGTATTGTTCATATTTACAATAGGTAAGTGACATATTAAATAGCATGGTGTGTAAATGAAAGTAAAAGTACGTCTGTGTCTACATGTAAACATGAATTAATTTCCACATGGCCAGTAGGAAATCTACAAATATCTAAAATTTCATGGTTTTTGAAAACAATCTGCACTCAATCCGCACTTAAATATTTATGTAACAAGTGCACGTATTTTCATATATGGGCACGCAAAATAGAAGAAAGAGACACGATTCCGCAATTCAGGCTCGTAAGTAATTTGACAAGTAGAGTAGAGGCCATCCTTGTCATGTTATAATAGTATGGCAGTGTATTTGGACTGTGGTGAATATCGTCTCCCTGCTTTAAACTTACTGAGTCGAATAATCGAATTTCGAGGCAGCTATTGCTTAAAATTAATCCTGTTGGTTATTTGGTGTTTATGATGAACAAGTGAATTATTTCAACTAAATTTTAAGAAACACATTTTGCTCGCAAGGTCACCTAACACAGGATTGATTAAGTCTAGATGTAAAAAAAAGAACAAAGTTGATTATATTGAATAGCATTTTACGGTCATAGATCGGACCAATAATCCATGGGCGTATAGTTCAAAGCTTAGGGCTTGATCCTACGGTAAAGTTTTGACCTATGGTTTATTTATTTTTTTGATACGTTGATTTTTTTCTGTTCAATAAAGATTTTCACCTGTTCAATGATATTCTTTATTTGATCCAACCTTAGACAAGTTACAATACTATACAGGAAAATCCTGATAAAGGTAGGCCACTGGTGGGCCAGCGTTGGGCACACGGAAAAAATGATGTTGGCCCACCAGCAGTAAGCTATCTGAGGACTTGGGGTGATTTAGTTGTTACAATGTGCACAGAAATGGTGCTCTCAGAATGTAAATTAACCTGCTACTACAGTGTAGTTCTATCAACACTGGATAGCATTTTTTAGGTATCAAAATGATTGGTAGCCTGGGTAGTTCGTAATTCAGAGGATAGTAGTGATTCATCATTGAATAGTCTACTAGCCAGTTATTCATGTCACCAATCAACAAATCCATAGGGTATAATTGTTCAATCCATGGATGGGAGATAAATCTGCTATTCTACTGATAAGGATGCTGATCCTTCTTGGCTTCGTAAGAAACCTTAAGTGATTTTGCGGAGACAAGCTGTATGCGAGTGGAGTCAATTGAGTGTAGGAAAAACATGCAGAGTGTGATAAGAATCGAGTTGACGCCATTTTTACTAAACTAGGTGACAGAATGAGAAAAAAGTATCTGAATGTTTTTGGTAATGAATTTTAGACACTTTGCAAAATAAAACAAATAATTAACTAAGTGAGCGAAGACAACAATTATTAATAACGAATATACAAACAATCATTTATAAAATAGCCAATCGTTATCCTATTGATAAATTCGAGGACGGATTTATCTAATGAGAGGGTGTACATGTATACATCGTAATAGGAACTGAATAGAATGGACCACCTGAAATATTTTAGCTAATCAAGAGTAAACGTATGCAGGTGAAGGCCAAATATGCATATAAAGAGATACAGCTGTGAGATTCGAGATCCACGTCCACAAATCCCTAGTTCTGCACACACACTCCCCACAATTCTCAATAACGACATCAGTTAATAATTGCCTTATCATCAAAATCAATTTCAGTGTCTCAAATATAAACTGTGATATATCTTTGACGTGTGGTATCGTTTCAACTGAAAACCCGCGTATGCAGAAAGAATTTTCAAGTCCACAACTACAGCCCCAAATGTAGAGACTTGGACTGGATTTGAGGATACTTAGGAAAGTCTGACTCAGATCGATGAAGGTTTTTAAAAGAAAACTTCTGACCCCTGTTGTTGTTTACCCATTTCCATGCCTCATGCAGTGACAAGCAATCTCTACTTCAGTTCATATGGGTCAACAAGTTTGACATACTGTATTCCAACCTCTCCGTAGATAAGGTTGTCATCACACCAGGTCCGCACACACACACACACACACACATACACACACACACAACATACACGCACGTGCATGTATAAGGTATATCTGTAATGGAAAATGATGATCACATGTTATCCATGTTCCAGAGTTATCAGTCCAACAGTCTTCACCTTCCCAAAAAGTGCTGGTAAACTGCACATTCGAAGAGCCGTCCATATGTAACTTTACATACGACAGGAACCACAGTAAAGCAGAATGGCTGAGACACAGTGGAAACACACCTAGTTCCAACACCGGGCCCAATGGAGATCATACCACGGGAGGTATGTAGATATATACAATGTATTGCTTTACGATACTTGACGTTGGCTAGGAGCATTATCATGTTTTATATTATATACATATTGATCGACATCTGATACTAGTGTATATAATTTGATATGTTAATGTCCTCCAAGATAACATTAAAAATTACAACAGCACTGCAATCCAGCCTTGATGCTGTCTGATTAATGATGTATAAATGTTTCTTTACTCTCAGTTGTCTGATTTATGATGCGTTTGTCTCAAAGCTTCCATTACGTCATTTGTCAATATTGAGGTTTATCTTAGCTCGAATACACCATAGTATTTTATGGTAATAATATCATGTATTAGATAATATGAATGAAGCCATCTACATTTGCATATACTTTTAAATCCACAGTACTACGAGATTCATTACATTTAAGCCACAAATACTCTTATGGGTTATCAAACTCAAATGAGATTTTACTTAGCTGATTGACTAGCTAATAAGCTTAATAAGTATAGGCTTTAAGTTAATCCGAACGCAGCCAGGCAGAATGGATAAGGTACAAAGGTGAAACCCCCAGTAGTAGGACGAGGCCAGCTGGTGACCACACTACTGGAGGTACGAAACATCCTGGTAGTACACGTATTAACATTAATACCTGTTCATTCGTCGTTGTTATGTGCCCGAGAATATAACTTAATCTCATGATTTAGAGGCCCTGATCCTCATTTACTAAAATGGAGCTTGCCAGCATCTAAAGCAGTTTACATGCTTTCATGTTTTAGAAAAGGACGGTACACGGTCATAGAACTTGGATTAAGCTACAGAAATAGCCAATGTTGTGTTCATTAAAGTCACAAACATATGAAAAGATTAAATATTCAAACATATAAGCGATTTATATAAATATGAAAAGAGAATTTGCGTTTTAATTGTCTTACCGCGGTAAACTTAATGCTTTTTGACCTGGTGTCTCTTGCAGCTGGTTATTATGTATACATGGAGGCAAGTGGGGTGTTGCCTAATTCCGAAGCCTGGTTACTCTTCCCGCCATTGTTGGAGACGATGCATGCTTGCTGTCTACGTTTCTACTACCACATGTATGCTGCTCTCGGAGAGCCAACAGTAGTTGGGTCCCTGAAGGTGGTTGTTGTGAACTCCTCTGGGAGCGTTACTCAGACTCTGTGGTCAATGGAGAGTTAGTTTAACTTTTATTACATTCATTATTGTGTAAAGATGCCGTCTTTCAAATATAGAAAGATAATCAAAATTATAGCAATAACATATTGATGTATACTTATATTTCTGTATCCAATCTGAGATAAGGTGCAAATGTTAAAGAAAATAGATAACACATTCCACCGCAGTTTGGTTCTCTTTTAAAACCTTTTAATCAAATTGTGCCTGGGCTCATTGAGTGGCACTTTTTCTATTACTGCACGTTGCTAAGAGATGCATTTATCTCTCAAACAGATAATCAAGGTCCCGCTTGGAAAAATGCCACAGTAGACATACCTGTGGGAGCTACTAGTCTGGCATTTGTGGCAAAACGACCTGGTAGTTATCTAAGTGACATTGCAGTTGATGATGTGACTATCGAAGGTGAGCCTTGCGTTGGGCATCTTACTTCAGAGGCAGCTTCTTCTACTGTGTCTTCAACAGTTGCTTCTACGACGACCAATCCTACTACTACCGCAAATATGCCTACCACCACGATTACACCCCCGTTAACAACGACTACCACGCCTACCACTCCGACAACAACAGCCACACCTACCACAACGACAACCACTCCGAGAACTATGGCAACCACGCCTACCAAAATCACAACAACTCCATCAACCGCGACTACCACGTTTACAGTTATCCCTACTTCTACCGATGCCACGCCTACAACTATGACAATTCCTACGTCAACTACAACAGCCACGCCTTCCACAACCACACCTAACGCTGAGACCACCTCTCCGACAACTATGGAAACCACGCCAACCACTGAAACAACTCTGCCTTCCACTGAGGCAACTACTCCATCATCTACGACATCCATGCCCGTTACAACCACAGCAACACCTATCAATATTGCAACCATGACAACCAGTGCAACAACCCTGTCTACCACTATCACAACCTCACCATCAACTACGTCATTCTCGCCGATCACAACCCCTCAATCAACGATGACATCGACGCCCATCACAAGCGCTCCTACAACTACAGCATCCACACACATCACAGCCACAACTACATTTGTCAACAATACAACCACTTTGTCATCTGTAACAACCATANGTATAGGCTTTAAGTTAATCCGAACGCAGCCAGGCAGAATGGATAAGGTACAAAGGTGAAACCCCCAGTAGTAGGACGAGGCCAGCTGGTGACCACACTACTGGAGGTACGAAACATCCTGGTAGTACACGTATTAACATTAATACCTGTTCATTCGTCGTTGTTATGTGCCCGAGAATATAACTTAATCTCATGATTTAGAGGCCCTGATCCTCATTTACTAAAATGGAGCTTGCCAGCATCTAAAGCAGTTTACATGCTTTCATGTTTTAGAAAAGGACGGTACACGGTCATAGAACTTGGATTAAGCTACAGAAATAGCCAATGTTGTGTTCATTAAAGTCACAAACATATGAAAAGATTAAATATTCAAACATATAAGCGATTTATATAAATATGAAAAGAGAATTTGCGTTTTAATTGTCTTACCGCGGTAAACTTAATGCTTTTTGACCTGGTGTCTCTTGCAGCTGGTTATTATGTATACATGGAGGCAAGTGGGGTGTTGCCTAATTCCGAAGCCTGGTTACTCTTCCCGCCATTGTTGGAGACGATGCATGCTTGCTGTCTACGTTTCTACTACCACATGTATGCTGCTCTCGGAGAGCCAACAGTAGTTGGGTCCCTGAAGGTGGTTGTTGTGAACTCCTCTGGGAGCGTTACTCAGACTCTGTGGTCAATGGAGAGTTAGTTTAACTTTTATTACATTCATTATTGTGTAAAGATGCCGTCTTTCAAATATAGAAAGATAATCAAAATTATAGCAATAACATATTGATGTATACTTATATTTCTGTATCCAATCTGAGATAAGGTGCAAATGTTAAAGAAAATAGATAACACATTCCACCGCAGTTTGGTTCTCTTTTAAAACCTTTTAATCAAATTGTGCCTGGGCTCATTGAGTGGCACTTTTTCTATTACTGCACGTTGCTAAGAGATGCATTTATCTCTCAAACAGATAATCAAGGTCCCGCTTGGAAAAATGCCACAGTAGACATACCTGTGGGAGCTACTAGTCTGGCATTTGTGGCAAAACGACCTGGTAGTTATCTAAGTGACATTGCAGTTGATGATGTGACTATCGAAGGTGAGCCTTGCGTTGGGCATCTTACTTCAGAGGCAGCTTCTTCTACTGTGTCTTCAACAGTTGCTTCTACGACGACCAATCCTACTACTACCGCAAATATGCCTACCACCACGATTACACCCCCGTTAACAACGACTACCACGCCTACCACTCCGACAACAACAGCCACACCTACCACAACGACAACCACTCCGAGAACTATGGCAACCACGCCTACCAAAATCACAACAACTCCATCAACCGCGACTACCACGTTTACAGTTATCCCTACTTCTACCGATGCCACGCCTACAACTATGACAATTCCTACGTCAACTACAACAGCCACGCCTTCCACAACCACACCTAACGCTGAGACCACCTCTCCGACAACTATGGAAACCACGCCAACCACTGAAACAACTCTGCCTTCCACTGAGGCAACTACTCCATCATCTACGACATCCATGCCCGTTACAACCACAGCAACACCTATCAATATTGCAACCATGACAACCAGTGCAACAACCCTGTCTACCACTATCACAACCTCACCATCAACTACGTCATTCTCGCCGATCACAACCCCTCAATCAACGATGACATCGACGCCCATCACAAGCGCTCCTACAACTACAGCATCCACACACATCACAGCCACAACTACATTTGTCAACAATACAACCACTTTGTCATCTGTAACAACCATACAAACGACAAAGACAACGAAGCCTGCAACTACGAAAACCACGCCAACCACTCCGACAGCCACCCCTACCACTGCAATAACCACGCCAAGTACTGCAATAACTACGCCTACCACTGTACCAATCACGCCTACCTCTGCGACGTCCACGCCTTCTACACCAACAACCACGCCTGCCACTGTAAATACCACGCCCGCCACTTTAGAATTTGCTACGATATCAACAAACACACCAATGGCTTCGACTATAGCTTTTACTGGTTCAACGTCATTAACACCGCCGTCTGCTGTATTAACCACACATCCTGCTGCAATAACCACGCCTAGTGTTGTAATAACCACACCTACTGCTGTAATGACCACACCCCCTGCTGCAGTGACCACACCTAAATTGAGCAAGACAACGGTCGATCCCAAAGATGGTGATAGAGAGAAACAGAAGCAAGGCAATGACGAAGATAACGCAGGTACACACACACACACACACACACAGATCATGCTATTATTATAGAGCAATGTGAAACTTGTCCTCACTTACTTACAGTCATATCAAAACCTAACACTGTTATTGCATTTGTTAAGTGTAATGCGGTTTCCTTATACCTACAATATCTGCAGTGTAACAACTACATGTATCATCCATTTATCAACTTATTATGTCACATACACAGGTGACATTTTGCACTGCTATAAAGACACTGTAGTATTCACTATGTATCCTGTTGTAGGGCAAATGATGTTTATAATCGCTGGAGCGGCCGGTGGTGGCGTTGCGGTGCTTCTGACTATCCTTATCATATTAATTATTATGAGGCGGTGAGTAACAAACAAATCGTTTTATTGGGCTTCTGTAAAATCTCTTGTGCATTTAGCTATATTTGAAAAAAAATTTACTAAAACACAATTAAGGATGGGAAGCTGCTGCTATTTGTCAAATCGCTATATTAAATTTTTATCCTTTAAGATTAATTGTTCATCAAATTTTCTAACAGGCGCAGGCAGACTCCGTACACTGATATCTACGAAGCTTCCAGTCCGCGGTGTAGCGTGTATGAATCTGGTGTGTTAAAAATAGAAAACCCCACTTATGACGTGACACTGCTTCCCCCGCCTGATATCGTCATTCACAGTCATGACGTCACGGATACCCAAAGACACATCCAGGGCAAAAACGGCGAGGCAATTTCAAATACACCTACTACAGAAATATAGAAATTGCTTTTAAAATCCCTTCAGTTAAGGGGAAGGACAGCCCATGGTGTTTTGTGGACAATGTGTGACTCTGTTGGGTGCCTGTACATTTATATGAAATTTGCAACATTTTGTTTATCATTGTCAGATAATATACAGAGGAAGCATATACAGATAAGGCGGAGGCCATCAAATAAATTAATGGGCATTTTATAAATATCGATTAATGTAAGTCTCGGTGTTAATGTTTTTGAAAAGAGGAAACATGATTTAGTTTACGACCTTTTGTAAAAAAAAAAAAAATAAAAATAAATAATAATAATAAAAAGCTTCCTAAAAGCAAGCTGCAAATAAAAATTACCTTGGTGAAACTTCTTAACAAAGACCTAACACGTTTATTTAGGCATTGGCGGAGATAGACCTGAGCATTTTTTCAGTGTAAACGTATGATGCATCTGCCGTCGTTGATGATTCACATTATAAGATTAAAGGTTTATTTAAATAAAAACGATTTATCTGCTTTCAAAATAAAACAATGGGGGTTTATTACATATTCTTGTGTTTTATGTGCATGTATTTTTGTAGTTTTTGTTCAAACATATCGATTCTTTCATTAAGATTTCCTTCAAAAACCATCTTAACAACCAAATCTGCCAGAATAGCGTCGCACAACATTAGGTTGCAAATGATTGTGTTTCGCGAGTTTACGGACCCACTTTTTTATGGCACGTACAAAATACAGAAAAAAAGCTGGTTATCTCAGATAAGGTGGTAGTTTGAAAGGAGTTTTAGTTTTGACGTTTTCAAAACAAACACTGTAACTATGTGTATGCTGTATCATTGATAAGAGGTACAGTACGAACTTCTCAACACATATCTCGCCCGTCATTTATGATTAAATAGTGATATATATATTAATACAGAAACGTCTTTGACTGAAACTCAGTTGAGGTCGCGGTTGAAGAAGGGAGCATGAATTAATTTGTTCCATGTCTGTTTAAAGAAAAAGAAACAATTGCATGGCCTTATTCAGTATTTTTATGTGAAAAGGGTTGCAAAAAATGCATTCACATAAGCGTGTTCAATTATAATTTTCATTAATTATTTTGTTACTTGTTTTGTTTACAAGACTTTGTGAATCTTAAGTGTACTTTTCCTTTTACAGTATTTAGATTAGCTATGATAGCTAGGATTATGCCAGTCATAGCAATTAACAAACTGCCCCTATACAAGATCAAAAGTCAAGCGTCATCTTTACTTTGAGAGGTGACTTGTAAATAGAAAGCCCTGGCAGCGTACCTCTAATTTGCTGGTGTTTTCATTTCCTGAATTCTCGTTAAAGTACGGTAAACCTCACCAGTACCAAACGCGGCTATGACGGACAGAACGGTTCGAAGATTATTCAGTTGTTTGATGGCGACTGCAGGTCTTCTGGGTAAGTGTTTGTTTTACTATGAATATCTTGAAATGCATGGTCAAATGGAGGAAAAGACACCTATACAATGTAAACCTTAATCTTCACTATTCGGTTTATATTCTTTTCCTTATTTTGGTTCAAGTTTAAGCTAGCTGTAGCTCTAAAAATTGCAAGGACATAATTGCTAAATTTGCAAGGAAGAAAAACGTTTTTAAAACTGATATAATTTATAGGTATGCATGTACTGGTGTTTGTAATAAACACAGAGGGAAACACACATTCATTTATAATCGGATGCCAACCAAGGAGGGGTTTGAATCAATTTACACAGTTTATTTAGAGTGCATTATACCTACGTTCCTTGGTGGAAAAACTACCGCCTAAATATGGGAGTAAACAGCTATATATATTTTCGCGTAATATTCCCGCTATTTTTGGTTATCGATTCCGGTTGTTTACCAGTGCTACTGTATTGTTTGAAATTGGCTTTGTATGTATGTCATGTACATTGCTTGGGCTTGACATAACCAGGAGACACAAGCTCTTTTATAGGCGTTACATACTGGTTACTACTTAAATACCATATCACATTTGATGACACCAGGTTTGATTCGAATGTCCTATCATAAATAAACACAGCTGGATTCAGTGTTAAATACGCCAAACATTTGTATCACTGCTGGCTACACATCACCTACGTACATGTAGTCATAAAAAACTGATGTAATTCATGGATTTTTCCTTTTTAGGTTTAACATTGGAACAGGTAATAGAGGCACCACAGGGCATTTTGTTAAATTGTACATTTGAGGAGCAGTCCATATGCAATTTTACGTTTGACAGAAATCATAGTGATTGGATATGGCATAGAGGGGGGACGCCAACAAATGACACAGGGCCGAATGGTGATCATACAACGGGAGGTTTGTGAAACATGATAAACTGCTTTTAGCATATCTGGTATTCATAAGATAAGTGCTTGAATGGCGTGAGGTATTAAACAATTCTAGTTAGGGCATATTTGTTAAAAACCAAAAGGAAACCAAAAGTGCCTAAAAATCAACTTCTTTTCAGCCATTTTATTCAATTTTGTTGAGTAATTTAACATATCCCTGGCGAACATGTCATTCCTACAGCAATTCAAATATTTTGGTGTTTATACCAAACATGTCTATGTAGTATCCAAAATATTAACTTATGTATTACCCAATCCATTTATATTAACTTTTATACTAATTGTATTCAGTGATTTAAAATATATCAAATATATTTTAATACTAAAAAAACTGTGGAAGTTGCTTAATGTTCAATGACATGCATTTTTTTTTCTAATTTGACAGTTGGGAATTACATGTACATGGAGGCAAAGGGCAAAGTTCCAGATTATTCCGCCCGGCTGATTTTCCCCTTTATCCAGGGAATTTCATTACAACGCTGTCTACGTTTCTTTTACCACATGGAGGGCACTCTTCTCGGTTCTCTGGAAGTTGTATCAATCAACTCTACCGGGAGTGTTGTTTTAAGACATTGGTCAAGAATAGGTAGGCAATGAATGCTTAGAAAACAACAAGAATACAAACATGGTAAAAGGCCATGTTCTTTTTAAAATATGGGTGATACTACTAAATGTCAATAAATATTATAAGGGCACATTTCTAAATAATTTTGAATGCACTTTTTGGCGCGAATACCAACTAATACCAAATCAAATAGACCTGTTACCAACACACCCAGGCAAAACCATTTTAATAATTAACTGTGCATTCAGTTAGGGTAATTTTACAAAAAAAAAAAAAAAA